CTGGGTGTTGATGTGGTCTGTGATACTCAATTGTACCAATGTGTATATGGGCCACTGTTGCCCTGAAGATTTAGGCTGAAAAGTTAGAAGGGATTTTTTTTTTAAGCCAATCAAAACATGCTGTAACTAAATCTCACCCCTGAGATGTCCTGGTTGAAACAGTACTTCTCCAGCTCTTCAGGCTCGAAGTACAAGAATTTGACAGAGCGTAGTATGAAGTGTCATTGAATTTACTCAAATTGAGTATCTACAGACTAAAAAAAAAGTGTGGGGGGAAAGCGGGAGAAGGAGAGGGTTCAGATAATGATTTCCTGCACTTATCAGCTTAAAAATACTCATAATAAAAATACACGCGTTCCGCAGAAAAGTACAGAAAAGCAACTACAGCCACAATTTGAACTTTATGCCGCTATACAAAATAAGGGAGTATATCATACTCTGCAGGACTGCTATTTCCTTGCAGTATTATTGATAGCAAGCCTAGTTCTTTAAGGGGCCAAATAAACCCAGTGCAGATATAAAAACACACTGGACTATAGCATGTACTTACAGTCCAGTTGAAGTGTGTGCTTCTTCCAATAAGGCAAGAAAGGAGAGTGGCTACTGACTGCTGTACAAGACAATTACTCCAAAGCAGAGTCACTGAATTGACATCTACAAAGTCACTACTCAAATTCTTGGAAGAGCCTCTCCTTGCAAGAGGCTACAAGTGGGGTTTATATACACAAGGAGATTCTAAACAAAAGTGATGGCTGCTTCAGGCTCAGACTTCAGTCATCCAGCTTGCGTTGGGGACTAAAGATACTTCTTCAGTGTAGACATACCTTGCACTTGTCTTCACCCCTTCCTGAACTGCACTACTGGAGCTCGAAATCAGAGTCGTTTAATATCTCCTGTATGATAGAGATTATGACCGCTGGAAAAGTCCTGCCCAATCCATTACTGAGCAGGTTTAGTTTAATTCTGCTATCCTAAGAGTATGATCACTATACATAGTCAGGCTGGGATGTATTAGACTCTCCACTTGGGGATATGTGCCTGCAGGAAATCTAGTCTAAATGCAGGCAGATACTGAAAGGGGCACAGCCAAGGAAACAAACATTTAGCTTCTCTGGGCAACAGCTGCAAATATAATTTTTGGCTAGAACAGCCTTCCCCACCTATCCTAAGTGTTTACTAGGTAATAAAAGAGAGCTGTGTGTAACACTAGTTTAAGAGTTGATATTCCACCTCTATACAAAGGAACTGTTGTATTTGCACAAAAACACAGCATAAGCAAACTAGCAGAAAACATCCTTTGGGAAGTACTGTGTAATTAAGGCAGCACACACCTGACTCTTTGGGAGCACCAATATGAATATCTAGAATAGTGGTAGTTGGGGATTCCAATGGAGCATTCCAATTCCCAAACCCCTCATGCTTCGCTCCAGTGAGTGGGAGTAACATCCGTTCTAGAAAAGAAGAGAAAAGCACCTGTTAAACATATCTTAGCTGCTGGGTCCCAATATTCTTGCTGGAGTCACAGATAACAAACCAAAGACAGCACAACAGCCTCTTATTTAAAGTACAGCCTAAGCTGTAGCTTCATTATTTGGTGAATTTCCCCTGCAGGTATACAAAGTTTGGCTCCATGATTACAGGTTTCTGAAAGGGTTTATTTTCTTGCTGTTTCCAACTAAACTAAGAGCAAGTCAGATTTGGGGCTCTTTTTAAACAGACTTTTTTGCTTGCACTTCTATCTTCAGAAAACAGTAAAGGTTGAACTTCACTCAAATGTATTTAATGACTGGTGTTAGTCCATAGGACAATATATTGCTCTGAGATGCATAAAGAACTACTAACCAGTGTGAGATGCATCCACTCTCTCTCGAATGTTCTTCCTGCTGTCCTGTTCCAAGAGTAATGCAAGTGTTTCTGAACTCTTACTCTCACTCGGGGCTAGCAGTATGCCCTGTCAATAGAAACCAGATCAGAAGTAAAGGAGTGTTCAAGAGGAAAAATACATACTTCTAAACAAGCAGTTCAGAGATTTCATAGTGATGTCTGTAAACAATACAACGTTCCAAAATATGAGTTAATTCTGCATCAATAAACATCATATCAATCCAGCTCCACGGCAGCCACTTACTTCCTTTACAGCAATAAATGATTTGCTCTGCTGCTGCAGTTCCCTCTCTTCCATTGGTAAAGCATTTTCTACTGAAGTAGCACTTTCTTCTGGCTGAGACACAGTAGAAAGTGGTTGCAGCAAAACATCAAAGATCTTTTCATAGTATGTGATGAGCAACTCTACTACCCGGGCTTGATATGGATAGTCCACAAGTGATGAAAGAGAAATGGTGGCATCTGTCTGACGGGGCCTGATCAGAGTTGGCCCAAATATTATGCCAAGATTGCTGGCAGACATTTTGTTTTCATCTGATTGTTCAGTAACCCTGTGTAAGACAATATGCAAAGTTACACAGGCTTTGTAGTTTTCTTTCCTTCCATGTTAATACTAATTAATTTCCATGAAATAATTTTAAAACAACTTTGCTTCAAAAAGTTACACACCCAACAACAAACTTAAGCCCATGCATGTGCTGAGTTCCCCCTCCTCCCAACAGGCAGGCAGTATTCAGCACAGAAGTATGGCTTTTAATTTACTTTATATAAAGTACACCACAATCTACTTGAGATGAACAGCCTCCATATCCTACTTAGCAGAAAGATCCAGCATATACTATTATGACTTTTAGAATATTTATCTTAGCTAGCTTTGCAGTTCATCCTTAAGCTATAACGGATCACAGTCATGTTGGCTACGCTGTACTGTAAATTCCTATTTAAGAAACAGGACTTTATTAATCAATTTAAAGTTCACATTTACAATTCCAATTTACAATTAATCTTTTTTTCTTTTTTTAAAAGGGCCCAGGCTTTCAGGCATCAGTGCCTGGAAGAAGACTACTAACTATGTTTTTGATCTGATTTTCACGAGTACCCTCAACTCCTGTTTACTTCACTAGTACTTGAGACTTGTCAGCAGCTTTGGAAATTAGGCCAGAACAATGCAGTGTTTTGGGTGGGAAGAGACAATAGGGCCACTTGCACCAGCTACATATAAGCCAAGAGACTTTCCCGAAGAGAGAAAATTCTCTACAGACCACTTCTGGCTGCTTTAAGGCTCACATTCCTAAACCACTGTCTGCAAGGCCATGACAGCAGGTCCACAGATCACAACATTTCTTCTCACCAAACTAATTAAAATATTTAATCAGGGTGCACACTGGTCCAGGAACAACTAAAGGTTGACAGTGGTCTGTCCGCCCAAAATGTTGGAGCTATTAGCTTATAAGATGTTAAGTGACCATGGTAAATTCTGGCTCTTATTTATTAAAAAACATATTTTGATAATTTTATAGCTCTGCATCATCACTTAATTTTTTCTTTATCTTCACCTCCTTAAAAATAATTCAGCTCCATGTTTGGGAGAAGTTCTCTGGCAACTATGACCTTACAGCACTGTGGCAAGCAGTACAGCAGGAGCTGGTTGGCCACAGCTTCAGGGATCAAAAAATGAAGCAAGCAGAATGGAAGCTGTGTCCGAATGCTCTTAACCATTGCTATTGCTGGGAAACAGCTTTCAGCATATTAGGGTAAGACGAAACAAGCTGCTGTCTGGTAACATGGCTGGAATAACAATAAAGCTCATTTCAGGAAAAAATGTCATGCAGGCAAGGTGCAACTTAAATGCCAAGTTATTCACCCGTCCCTGTAGTACCTAGATATACTTCTTGACTGAAGCATATAAATGTACACCTGCATCTTTCTAGAAGACAGTCAGAAAAGATCACCAAAGTGGTAGATCTGATTTTTTTGATTTTTTGCCTGCTTGAACATGCTATTTTGCTAGAATTTCTTCACAGGAAATTAAATATGGTTACTTAGATACATTCTTTCTAAGATGGAGTACCGCATGCAACTATTATTCAGAAACAGTTTTAAGCAGACAAAGATTAGATGGCTAGTTCTCATTTTCAAGCAACATCTCTAGAAATGGTATGTTTGGAATAGGGATGTGAAAGATTAAATGATTAATTGTTTAACTGATACATGCAATGATAACCAGTTAGCCTACCGGTTATCCTTTAGCTTGGTTGGGCACAGGTTAGCAGGAAAGGGGGAAAAGGGAAGCCATGCAGTGCCCCAACAGGAATCAGAAGGCAGCAGGGCAGGCAGGAAGGAGAGGGAGAGAGGTAAGGGGGACTAGTACCTATGGCCTAAAAGGAAAACAGCAAGCAGCCTAAGGACTCAGTGATTAAACCATTAGCTGCTTGTTCACAGGTGGTCCCTCCCTCCCAGCGCAGGGTCCACCTGGGCTGTGTTGCATTTTGCCTATCTGGGCTTGCCTGCTCCTCCCATCCCTGGCTCTGGGAGAGTGACTCCCCAGCACCAGCTGTGTCTGAGCTGCTGCGTTATTGGTTAACCATTTTAAGCAGAGGAGGTTAAACATATTTTAAAATATTTACATCCCTAGTTTGTGGCCGAGCAATAATTCACCATTACATAAACCACAAACTAATTTTTGAAAATACATGGAGATATAGAAACACAGATCCTGTAATTTTTCTGGATGAACATCCAAAAGTGGGGGCCAAACCATCTGAAAGAAATTTTCCTAGCATGCAGCATATAACAGTTTACTTTGCAAAACATCTGCAGGTTACCTTAAAGGGCTTTTCTTACCTATGAAGATGTGCTGTAAGGTACTGAAGTGTGTTATAATTTGGTACAGGTAGCTGTTTGAGGAGATCTTTCATTTTAATGATGATCCTGTTCATTTCAATACAGACTGATTGCCTTTTCTTTGATGTAGGGCTAGTCTGTTTTGTGTCCACTTCCTCATTAACATTCTGACTTTCTTTTGCAAGTCCGATGAACTCATTGTAAAGCCGAAACAAAATCAAAGGTTCTGGGAGCTGAGGGAATAGAAACATTTAGAAACATATTCAAGTCTGCATTTTACCTTGTCTGTTTCCTTCCTGTCTATCACCAAATGCTGTCTAGTCTAGTGCCCTTCCTTTAGCTAGAAAAGTTGAATACATAGAAGAGACCTAGACATAAAAATATCACGCACTAACACATTATAACAGAAGCCTGATAATATAGCATACAAACTGCTAAATTTGTTGAAATATTATTTATCAAAAAATAATTATTCATAGCTGAAAACCCTGTTAACAATTCTATTGTTTCTGTGTGATTATTAAAATTCTAATGAAGAATTTTCCAATTAAAACTTTCTCTTGGAGTGTGAAATTACCATTATGCTAGTTCATGAGAATCTCATAGGGGCAACAGTTAAAATAAATAAAGTGAAATTGACCTAGGTTTTTCATTTTCCAAATGGAGATAAAATGTAAAAACAGAACAACCAGCTCAACCTTGCACAAATTAATCAGTGTTAAAAACAGTAATTCAACAGCTCTTTAAGCAACTTTACAGAACTTTTTTTGAACTCTTAAAACCGGTCTAAACAACAGGAAGTCTCAAATACCATGAATACCTTTAAAAGTTTAACATTAATATTTGGCCAGGCTTCCTATAACAATTCTATCACTGCCTTAACAACTCACCTTTGACATCCCTGGCTCCCTCAAGTAGACACTGCAATGATGTGGCAGCTTATTAGTGTGGATATATATTTACTAAGGACCAAACTGAGAGGGCAGGCTAGTTTTATTGGTGACCCCAACTGGATCTGAAGTAAATTCTTTGGAGATGAAAGGCTGGAAAGTTAACCCACTGTTCTAAGTGGCCTCCCAAAACACATAATTTCTTAGGGATTATTGTACTACTTGGGTGGCTAAAGTCATTCTGCCTCACACCTCAGGCATGTAATAATCCTCCAGAAATCCACAGCCAATAAAGTTTTACAGCTTAATTGTACTGAAATTTAACAATTGTATTCAAATGAACATATTTCATTGTAAAAATGTTTTCCTAAAGCTGGAAAGCATCTTATCTACAGGGTTCTAGTACTATTTTTATCATATAAGAATCATCATTATTTACAACCGGTTCTAACTAAGCTTGTACTGAACTGATTAGACACACAGGAAGTGATAAACCAGCAGGTAACTGCTTGGCTTCATTTGTCTCTTTGGAGTTTAATGTTAGTTAAAATTCAGCATAGTGCCCTTAAACTCCAGAATTTGCTGCATACAGAATTATGGATTTTTACTGCCTGTTGAAGTAGCAGTAAAAAGCTAATGTATTATCTACAAAAGTTCTCAAGTCACTAAATGAGCACAACTCATTTTAAAGTCATTGTTACTTGTACTCCTACAACACTTACAGCCAGAAGGTGCTTAAACCCCCATTAGGAGACGGGATTGAATTTCAAAAGGGCTACCTGGTATTTAAATGCCCAAGGCTTTAAAACCTGTTTCCACAGAAGGAAAGTGGTTAATCTTACCATGCTAGGCTTTTTATCATTTTTTTTATTGACTATAGTTTTAGGCATTTCATTCAAACTTTGTCTGCAATCTGTAAAACCTGGCTGCCACTTTACAAGCTACAGCCCTACCTACCTCATGAATCCAACCAGATTAACACTTAAACTTCACACTAACAAGTGGATACAGAAAACTATGCTACTAAAAGCAACATGGATACTGCTGGGAATGATAAACAGGCTCGAAAACTGATTCTATCAATAGCCTTAGTGTTTTCATTGTCAAGCACCACAGAATCAAGCTCTCCAAATAAAAATAATTTCTTGCCAATACAGTAGATTATTCTATTCAAATGAAGGTATTTTTCCAGCAACAATTACAGGACTTGTGAAAAGGAATATTTTCCTCCCTCATTGAAAAAGCTGCTATAATACTTCTGTTCTTCCAGCTAATTGCAGAACAGTTATAGCATATACCTGGCGGAGGTATAGTTTAAGGACATTACTGATGTCATGTGCGTAAAGTTCTGACAGTTCTACTAAGTCCTTTCCATTTTCAAACGCTTGGCAGAGTTTTTCAACTCTTGATTTGGCTCCATTCACACGGTAGATGCCCTGAAATAGAAAAAGAAACAGTATGCAATTCTTTTAGCTCTAAAAGCAATTGTAAAACGATTGGAATTAGCCAATGTAGTATTATCATAAACTGTTTTTGGAAAAGACTGTTCATGTTTAAGCTTTATAACATTAAGTTAACCTGTACCTTTACGTTCAGGGCTCTGCTTTCAATTTCAGAGGTGCACTTTTTAATGATGAAAGGGATGCCATCAGGAACATTTTTAGCAGCTTGAGCAAATTCCACTCCAAACAAATGAAGTCTTCCATGAAGTTTTTTGTGCCCGCACTGAATAGCTAAGGTCTCTAAACATTTCTTGTGACAAGCAAGTGAGCACTACAATAAGTGAGGTACAAAGGAAGAAATGAAATAAAATAAAAATGTTTCAACACAATTTTAGATCAAAATGTCATTGCTAAGAATCTACATGACTGCATATGTTACCTTCTGTAACCTCTTACCTCCTCACATTCTGCTCCATGGAATACCACTAAGCTATCACATTCTCTGCATTTAGATGGAGCCCTCAATTTTCGCAGCTTGTGCGTTTGAGCTGCCTTGGACATGAGGGTATTTCTAAAGGGTCCAGGAGAATTGGCAGTTTCAGATGTCAAATCATTTAAACCTTGAAAAAAAAATTCTGCTGTTATAATAGCATTCAAGTATCTGGTAAAACAGCACACAGTATGAGGATACATAATAACTGTTTGCTGCTTTGCTTTTCTTATAAACTCACTGTAGTACACAGCTGTCTACAAGTAATCACACTTTACAGGATGTAGATGCTACATATAGAACTTAAATGTTATATACACATGCTAGTGAAGTAACCAGTCCATATACAACCTAAACATAATGATGACATTTAGAGATGTACACTTGAAGGGAATACATTTTGTGCCCATAATCAACTGAAAGTGCAAATAAGGCTGTCTGGACCTCTAACTACTTGTACTACTTGGGTACTTTGATTGCTCCTTCAATTCAGGCAGCCACCTGGACAAGTTCCACCGTATATGCCCAAAGTATTGTGTTAAGACCACTTGGATACCAGCCTTACAAAATTTCATTTGCAATGGCTAAAATAATTGAAAAATACTTTGACTAATCTCTCCCCCCCACCCAACTTTGAACTGATTGTAATTAAATACACACTCACAAGAGAACATCAAACTACTATTCCTACAACCCTAAAGATATTACCTTCTAGAGGATTCTAGAAAAAAATATAAACGGCAATTCCTCTGATAGTTCAAGTAGCTCAGAACTTTTATTTATATTAGTTTTGTTAACACGTGTTAAAAAAGCATTAAATCTTACTCAGTTTTATGCATTCAAATATATCTTGTGAATAGAAGTTATTGCTCATTTTTCCCCCTAGAAGCTCAAGTAATGGGCAGGTAGGGGGTGGGAGATGGTCTCATTTTTTTCACATTAGACAACAAATTAAAAGAGACTTTGTTTTAGAATGGCCTTAATACTGGTTTAAGCTGTGATTTGGAACATTTCAGTATATGTTAACCTTAAGTTCACCACTAAACTATGTTTTTTTTGTACCAAGCACTGATGGACATCAGTATTTGCTTAAATGCTTTACTGTACATGTATGTTAAAAAACTAGCTCTGGAAATATTTCAGTACTGCAGACATTGCTTGGGGATACTTCTAGTTATCCAGTAATTCCAGTTTCAGAACATGTGATCAAGTGGCTGTCATACTGCCAGAAAGACTTGCCTAATCCATCTAAAGTACATTTTTCATTTTTTAAACCCAGGGCAGAGATGTTACTAAACTACCTTATCTGAGTTTCAAGCATAAGAAAATGTCTTAGCCAACTTCCTAAAACATTTGGAACTATAGCATTTAAGATTTACAGATAACTCACTCCTCAAGTGACTTGTACTTGGCAGTCTAGAAATTGAATAGCTTAAATATGTTATTGCCTTTGAAGCATGTTAATAGCATTGATATGAATAAAAATTTAGATGCCAAGATAATGTCAGCTAAAGGCAAAGCTAAATAAAGCATCATAAAGCATGTTCAAATGCTGATAATGCATTAATCTAATCTAAATGAGAGGAACAAGTTTGCTATACTCCAGAGAAACTACATAGCCTAGACAGTTCTTTTTAGCTCTGAAATCAGGGAACCTGAGAACATACCAACTGTTGCAGATTCACTTTGCATCTGAAGTAATTGATAATTAGTAAATTTAAGTTTTCCTCATAGCAGATAAAAGAAAACAACAACTTACAAAGACAAAAGGCCACCTACTAACTAGCTAGAATTTAAGAAAAAATCATAGTATATTACCACATTCAGAAGGAGAAGGTGGTTCTCTATCATCTAGATCATCTGCAGAAGACATAGTACCAGTAGAGGGTGTGCGGGGAAGCCTTCTCTTAAAATCCCCTGTGGAGGAGGAAAGATTTTTTTCAGATGGCCAAAAATAGAGTCTACTCAATGGCTCATTCTCAGTAGATGCTCAAAGCAACACTCGTTTAAGTCGATAACAATTTTTGCACCAATTCAATAGTCTTTGAATTGGGCCTTACAAAATTATTTTAAAACAAACAATAATTGGCAAATAGCTATACCTGGGCTAGCAGATGGAGAATCCATAGAACGCGATTCACTGCTTCCTCCAGCACTTTCAGAATCACTACACATTCCTCCACCTTGGTTGCCTACTGACCATGATCTGAATGGTGGGGGTCCTCGTATTGCTTGGAAAAAAAATCCAAAGATAATAAAATCAGATAATAAAACAATCACCACCACAAGATTCTTTCAGCTGAGGGGATATTCAGGCAGGCTTGGCTTTTATAAGAGGAAAAATACATAATGTTAAATGAGAAGACATGCATCATTTCTTATGGAAAGAAAAGATGTAGCATGTATTCTCAAGAAGAGTTTTACAGTATGCAAGGCTGTCCTTAGGGGAGGGCGAATCAGGGTGACTGCCCCAGGCCCCGCGCTTTGGGGGGCCCTGGGGAGCCAGGTGAAGTGGCCACAGACTTACATCCGGCCGCTAGGTGCCCCCCCACCTCCGTACCCGCCACCAAATCCGCTGCCGGCTTCTCCGCATCTGGGGCGCGCAGGGGTGGGGCCTCCACACAGGCTGATTTGCCCTGGGCCCTGCACCCTGCTCAGGTCATCTCTGACAGTACGTGTAAGGAAGTTCCAGAAACTTGACATTTATTAGGTATTATTAGCAGCCGAAACCAAAACTGCATTCTTTAAGTGACAAGTAAAGCCTCTTAAAAACTGCCAGTATTTATACACAATTTTTTCTTGTAGAGGGAATGGGGATGAGAAGAATGTTAATAAATAAATTAATGGTCAGAAGTTGCTATTTGACTTGCATCTAATACTTCTTGGCAAAGATCTTCATTGCTTGCTTAAATGGTTTTGCATCCACTCCTGGGCACTAGTATGTATGAAACATTTATAAAGCAACAAAGCTTTTTACATTTTTTTAAAAACAAATGTTACATTTTGGGCCTGAGTTATGACCTATCACATGATTCATCCCACTGTAGCAAAGAGCTGGACCAGTCACCTGCTAAAGCTGACCTTTCTATTTAGAAATGAAAGCTTGTAGAAACGTAAAAGAATTACCTTGGATATCTGTGCTGCTGGCAGATCTCTTCTCTCCAATCTTATGAGAACGACAGTAAGTCGGGCTTCCAACATCCTCTAACGACTGTGTAGGGAAGTCTCCAGAACACTGAGATAAGTTTCCATGTGATGCATGGGCACTGTTCGTTGCTTGTTTACTAAAAACACTTAAAAAAGAAAATCCATTTTATTGGGGAGGTGACTAAATTAGCATTCAATTAAAATCCTAATACATTTTATTTTTCAAAGCACTAATTGCTCAGTATTTCTACTGTACTCATCAATAGTTCATAATTAAGCTCACAATATACATCATGGAAAATATTTACACAACCAAATTTTGCCTTCTGTTATATTGGTACAATTCCACGTGTTAAATGGTTATAGGGAATAAATTCTCCTACTAACATAGCAGTAGTATGTTTCATACGGTACAGGCCCTTTCAACATCTTTTTTTCAAAAATCAGTATATTATACCCCCTACTTTGTCCTTATGAAACTACAGCAACAGGACAAATGTAAGTCTTAGCTAGAGGGACTCACCTGTAGAGCTAGGATTAGAACTCAGTGGTTCTGATTTCCAGTCCTGTTCTCTCTTCCAAATACCATCTCTTCCCAACTGCCCAACTATTTGTTACTTTAAATTACTCTAAACTGAATGTGAACTCTTTATGCCATTGGTCTAAAACGACTGATCTATAAAGGACATAGATTTTAAGTAAGGGTCTAAATGTTTACTTGGACTTATTCCCTAAAATATTTAATATGGTTTTTAGGAGTACTAAGCATGGCTTCACAATTTCATAGAAAGTTCCTAGTACTTGGCTGTTAAATTCTGCTCTTAAGATGTAATGAAAGAATGCAGTTAACAATCTAATTAACCTAAAATGCTGAAGCACCCTGTGGATTAAACTGCTTGCTAGCCAAGTTTAACAGTAGGGGAGACTGCGCTTAATCAGCTCGTCTCTACTCATTTGATGGAAGCTGCGATGAGGGCTTCAAAACATTTAAAATTTACATTTTTGCAAGGGATTTGCCTCTTAGGTATACACAGATCTAGACAATAATTAAAGCAATCACTTAAGAGTGTATGAGAGATTGCTAGGCCCTATGAGAAGATCAATAAGCTGGGAAAAAGAATCAGTTCTGAAACAAGCCAATTTTAAATACTGTGGGTAAATATACATAGGGATTTCAGACTTCCACACCTACTTTTTTTGCTGTTGGAGTGACATACTGAAACCTCTGACAACTCTGAAAAATTCAGGAGTATGTACTGAATCAGACTCATGAAAGGCAGGAAATTTAAAGACTAGAACTAAGAATCTTTGCCTTAACTTTGAGTTTCCTGGCTTTTGTTGGTGCACGTCCGACTCAAGCATTCAGTTTTTGTACTTAATTTCCTTTTGAAACACTATGACGACAGCCTTCCTGTAGAACTGTGAAACACACAGATAGGAATGGGTATTTTGGCACTTCAGCTTAAGTGCCAAAAAGACTTTTATAGTGAATTAAATGTGGAAAGTCACTTAGCATATGTATGCAACAAGGTGAAATACTTGTTTATAGCCTCTCCACTATTACATTTAATAGGGCTGTGCGAAACAGAACCATTTCGTTTTGACTTCATTTCTAGGAAACTGCACCTCAAACAGTTGAAAGGAAAACTCATATCACTTGCCGGTAGCAGCAGCCTCCTGTCATCCCGCCTGCAGATCTGGCGGCCCGCACCCCTGAGAGGGCTGTGGGGCTGCGTCGGATTCCTCCTGGGGGCGGGGGCCCCCAGATCTGCATGCGGGATGACAGGAGGCTGCCGCCTGGGACTGGGTGCACCCTGTGCCCAGCACTGAGAAGACTGCTGCTGCCGCTGGCCCCAGGCAGTAGCGGCAGCATGTTGTCATTCCATGCACAGATTTGGGGGCCTGCGCCCCCCAGGAGGGCTGCAGGGCTATGCCAGACTTCTCCCTCCCAGGGGGTGCAGGCCCCTGGATCTGCATGCAGGATGACAGGAGGCTGCCACTGCTGGCTGGGACCGGTGCTGAAGCCAAGCAAGCCTGGCTTCGAAACGTGAAATGTTTTGAAACATTTCGAGCACCCTCATCTTGTTTCAAAGCTGTTTTGAAGCCTTTTGTTTCATTTTGATTTCGTTGTTTCGAGCTTGAAACGCATCGAAACAGCTTTGAAATATAACACCCAGTGCAATTTCACACAGCCCTAATTTACATACCCCCCCCCAAACAAACAACCAATAAAAGCTCTCATGTAGCACACAGACTGGTACTCACTTGGAATGAGTGATGCATTTATATCATGTTTTGTTTAACAAAACCTGCCATTTTAACAATTTGTATTCTAATAGCATCTCGAGCAGTGATTCTCAATGAAGGTGCCATGAGACATTTTGAAGAGTTCCACAAGGTGTGAGGAGATGGGCCAGATGGGAGGAAGCAAGTGCAGGCTCGGGCTTGTTGCTGCCTGGCTGCTACTCTATCTCACCACTTGGCTTTTCTGCAAGGAGGTCAGCACTGTAATAAATTAGTTTTTAAAGTGGCATGCTGCTCAATTCACAAAAATTGAGTCAACTGAGGGCTGCCTTGAGCTTAGGGTTGAGAACCACTGATCTGGAGGTTATACCAGAAGAAGGCACCAACCTGCTACATGCTGGACAGACAGACAGGAGATACTTTCTGCCCCAAAAGCTTAAAACCTAAGACAAAATGCAATTTGGACAGAGCAACAAAAAGCGTAAGAGTCTTGGAAGCACTCATGCCTTTTTTCATTTCTACCTTCCAAACTTTAGGTTTCTAGAATCAAGGAGCTCCGATACAGCATATCCAAAAGATGCTCTACATACAGAGTTCAGGATTTACATCTTTACCCAGCGTATAAATCAGGGGCAGGCAAAGTCTGGCTCACAGGCCAAATTAGACCCATGGTGGTCCATTTCCCAGCAGCCTCTGCCTGTGTCATTACAGCTGGTTTCCATAGAGACCCCAGAAGTGATGGGGCCATGACAGTGCAGAGCCAAGGTTTCCATAGAGACCGGCCCCAGCCGTGCTGGCAGGGTACGCAGCTGGATGGGAAGTTACTCCAGGGATGGGATCTTGCTGCAGTGACAGTGCAGTCTGAATCCAGGGCAGATCTGAGGTCTACTGCCTGCATGCCCCGGGCAGAGATGTGCAGGCAGTGAAGTGCAGCTCTGCCCGGGCTCTGGACCATGCTGTCACCATTGCAAGATCCAAGCCCTGACCCTGGAGCAGCTCCCTGCCCAGCTGCACATGCCAGTGCTGCTGTGGCTAGTCTCAATGGAAATCCTGGCCCTGTGCTCTCAGAGCACTGCTGCTCCTTGGGGTCTCCTTGGAAACTGGCCAGCGATGCAGGCAGAGGCTGCGGGGAAATGGACTCTGGCTGCTGGCTGGATCCGCCATTTTGCCCACCCCTGGCATAGATAAACAGTAGTAAGTTGAGTCACTTGAATCAAATGGTTTAGCTATACTCTATTTAGCTTTATCACACATAAAAGATTAAATATGACATTCAGGTAGGAATTAAGAGTCAAGTTTTAGTTATAACATTAATATTGTATTTGTTTAATGTAGCTACTGAATATACAGAGCTAGGGGGATGCATAAATCATATCCCAGTCATGGTGAAATGGCAAATTCCTTTTTACTCTTGAAAAAGTTCTATTTCACCACTGTGTTTTCTTCTGTAACATTTTTCCTTAGATTTAATTCCAGATAAACAAATGGTATTAATATATTAGTTCTCACCCATCCACTTGGGAGCTCTGAGTTTCAAAGGAACCCGATTCAATGGGAATATCTTCCTTTGGCAAATTTTTCACAAACTCCAAATATTGCTGTCCTGGGTCATACATCTTGGCACTCTCACAGAGGGACTGACAGTTGACTGGAAGGGACACAACCTGGGCATGCTGCAGCTGGAATAGGTTAACTGTTGCCTGTTATGAAACAAAAGTGTTGTGTTTGTTAAAAACAAAACACAACACAAGTTTTAGACATTTTAAGAACGTTTAAAAGTCTGCTTATACTTCAATCCACCCCTCATGGTAACTTTATTATGGAAAAAAAGTTAAGCAATTCATTTTAAGGACACAAGCCAACTTGCTAACAGTGCCAAATATAAATATTTATGGCTAGACTTTCCCAGGGTTTCCAGAAAACAGCTGCAGATCAGTGTCACTACACTTCTGCTCTCCCCTTCAGCCCCAACATATACCCATTCCTCCCCTCTTGATAACTATAACTCCAGCTTCTCTCTACTTGAGGTTGGTACATGGCAAAACACATAGGCAATTTGCATCCTCTTTTCATCAGGAACAAGCAAGTCACCTTCACAATGGTGAAGGACTAGAAGCACCAGCTTCAGCTTGGTCTCTATGTTAGATCTCAGGATTCTAATATTATAAAAGCCTAAGTCTGTCTGTCTATAACGCTTTATTCACACTCTGATTGGCTGATGGAAACAGCCAGAGTGCTCCAAGCGTGGGGGAGCGCTGCCATGATTTCGAAGCCGTGCCGAGGACCTGACAGAGGGTGGGGGAGCCAAGGCCAGCTGGCCTCAGCTCCCCTACCCCGCTCCCTGCAAGAGGCAGAACAGTGGGAGCATGGGGCGTTAGGTGGCGGCACTCCATCCCAGCCCCCTTCCCTCACATAATTCTTGACGGGCAGTTGGCTAGTAAGAAATAAAGAGCAAAAACCTTTTCCCTAGGAAGCAGACTATAAAATAAGAACAACTTATTTTCTGGGGTCTGAACAGCTCTGGAAAGAAATGATCTTTTCATAGGGCAAAACTGACAACCCAGTCATGGCATGGCTTTAGCTGTAGTTTTGGAATTGCTACCGTTGCTGCTGGTCTTCCACCTTACTCTACAGGTGATGACTTCCTGCCTTGTAGATTCATGTTCTTGTTACCCCAGAAACTATGCTCCCTGCAAAGCAGCAAAGGACACAAAGGATGTGAACCTGAAGTGGGGTCACCACATCCTCCCCTGCACTTGGAAGCAAAAGGAGCTGTGCCAGTTCTGCACATTCCAAATTTGTTAACCAGGGGGAGTGATGAGCACAGACCATAATTCCGGTAGACTCTGGATAAATGTTTTGGGTCTACATGTTTGAGTACACACAGAAATAGCAAATTAACAAATAAGGTACATGCAATATAGTTCCTAGGTTTTGTAGGACTAACACTACCTGATATTGTACATCACATCACAAGTGGCTTCTTTTCAACCCTCTTTCCACGGAAGGTGTAACTTATTTATGTAGTGAATAAGAAAATTGTAAGTACCTGTAAAAATGCTATTTAGCAAAGCTACCCTTATTGTAAATTGAAACATAAAACATGGCTCTCTTTTGGATTTAGTCTTTTCTAACAAAACTTAGATTAGTTATTCTGCATAAACAGTTCTTCACCTAGAAAGGCAAATGACATTGGTTCAATTACACCCTTTCACTAACTGCACTAAACATTAGAGCATTTAAACCAGAACATGTGGAGAACTGGAATGAACATGCCAAGATAAGAAACTCTGCATTTCTATTGAGAATGGTTTGGCATAGTTAGAATCTGGAAGCTTTCCACATCGGTATTAGTTAATTTGATGCTTGGTCCTTTTGCGCTACCTTGAAATCTTTGTCTATTAGGATTTACTAAACAGTGCGACACACCATCCTTCAGCCTAGAGAGGGGGTAGGGCAAGGTGTGGCTTGGGTTAGTGTAGGACATTGGGGAGAAGACCAGGGAGCAGGCACAGGAAGGGACAGACCTGCCCCCCAGCTGCCACTGTCCCCAGCTGGCCTGGGGGCAGAGAAGGGGCCAGGAGCTGCCCCTACCCCACACTGCAGGGAGTGGCTGTTTGGGAAGCTGGGCTTTGCTGGGGACAGAGGCAATGGTGCATACGTTCCTTCCACCCTTGTTCCCTGTCCCTCCCCTTCCCAGGTGTCTCCTGCTGACTGGGAACATGCATGCCACCCACCACTGCTGTCTTCAGCTGAGCTGGGCTCCCCCACACAGTTGCTCACCACAGCACAGGGCAGGAGAGGGTTATTAGTGGCTCTTGGGTTGCCTGCCTCCATCAGCTGGGGACAGTAGCAGCAGTTCACAGGTTCCTCCTTTCAGTGCCTGATCCCAGCCAGTGGGGAACACTTGTGGGTGAGGGACAAGCAGAGAAGAGGTGCTAAAAGGAGGAACCTGTGACAGCAGCAGAGGTGGGGTGGGTCATACCACCTCACCCTTCCAGGTATATGCACAACCATTTTACCATATATTGCCAATTGATCTCTTTCAGTGTGTTTTTTAAATTAGAACCCCCCCTTCCCATAACAATTTGTCCTCTTAACTAGATATATCTGGAACATTATATAAAGTGGTTAATGTCATTAGTAGCATACATCTAAATTGTCAAGTTGGCCTAAGCTTTTTCTAACCTTAATAACTATGTCCGTCTTCTGAAAAGAAGATTAACCAAAACAAGACAGTAGATCTTTTCATATATTTTCTAAAATATTGATACTGTATCTCTTGGCGTGTTTACACATGCCCACAAAGTTTCATACTGAGTCAGTCAAAACTGAATGCATAATAGTTTCAAGAATGTCACCTAGGTTAATGAGCTCAAAACTACACCCGTTTTATATTGGCTTGCATACTGTAACTCTTAATACATGAAATGTCATTCTTAATGCACAAATAAAGACAATGCAACACGTTTCATGAGCAACACAAAACAAACCAGGGCATGTCTCTTTGCAATTGTCATCACTGGTATTTATACTAAAGTTTATAAAAATTCTACCCACATACAGAATTCTTGCAGGTTTATGAAAACTTAAGGGGAAAAAAAAAATCAAGATATTAAAAAAATGGGTAGAACCAAATAATGTATGTGAAGGCAGCATAATTGTACCTCAAGAACTTGTAGTCTTTTTCAGAGAGATGCCTACAATCATATGAGAACATGCTGCTTTTCTTCTAGTTTTGCATACATCAGTCCTTACCCATTCCGAATAAGCCCTTAACATTTACCCTTGATTTTCTCCTTTCCACTAAGAAATTTTATTTTTTTTTTAAAAGGCATCCTTACAGCTTTAAGAGTAAGATCACACTGGTAAATAAGTCCCCGTAGCTGTGTTAAAATATCACTTTTGATGCTTTCCAGATCATTTCTCTTTTCTTCAACTTCTGCCATACTGGCTTTGTAGTGTTCATTGGCCTCTTCAGCCTAAAGAAAATAAACATAGCTAAATACAGGTAACTGATGGACTCTAGAACTTTGGTACCTGAAATAAGCTAAGAAAAAAAAATACTTCAGTAAGCTTGTAACTTGGGATTCTTTGGTAGGGAAAAAAAAAAGAAGAACATTTACTTTTATTTATACAAGCATGGCAGGAAAGAAAATTATAAACAGCTAAGTGATCTCTCATTGTCAAGGTAGTGGTAGAACCAGAAAACACCATCATGAAGCCCTTAATGAATAAGCAAAGAACTTACTTTTTGAAGAGCCTCCTCTTCGAGCCTTCGTTTTTTCTCCAATTGTTTGCTGACATCTTTCATAAGACCTCCATTATAGCTCAAATGTTCTTCCTCAGCACGAACAGTGGAGGATTTTGCCTTTTCATACTCATCTTGGCGCTGCATGTAGAGTAGCTTCGCTTTTCTTAAAGTAGCTTCCAATTCTTGCTACACAATATATCAGTAGAAAAGCAAAGAACAAATCTTTCTTACATATAAAAGTGGAAGTAGGCAACCGGAAAAGGACTGTTCAGCAAAAGCCTCCATTTTGTAGTTTTAATTGCATAACAAGCAAACACCTGAAGAACTGGCATTTGCTAAGAGCCTAGGAGCTATGAACTGTGGTCAGTAAGAAGGGTGGATACTCAATATAAATTTGGAGGCCTAACCTCAGATGTTCAGTTTTGAAAGCATCAGTTTACATGGTGAAAAATGTGAAAATATTGTTAGGTACAAAGAAATACGAACCATTTTCTTCTGTTCTCGCTGCCAAAGCTCCTTAATCTCTTTTCTTTGTTTATCCAACTCATTTTTTCTCCCTAGGAGAGGCTAAATAAGAAAGATTCATAGAGTACATAAAGTTTATAGGCTAAGTATGTTTTCCCTTATTTTATTATAAATGGTACAGGCATAACTTTTTAAAAATCTGAACAATGAGTCAGAAACACATTTTTACCTGCACAAATTTGTTAGACTGCAGAGCAGTTGCTGTTTGTTGCCAAAGTTGACTGTTCTCAATATCATTTTGAAAAGCATTTGTGAATATCGATTGGAATGGCATGTAAACCTAGGATTAAACACAGTGGAAAATGGTAGCGTTCTAGTGAGGAAGACAGGGATGCAGTCAGTCATTCTAGAGCCTATTAGGATTTAGCTTATTTTTTTTTTAAGAGTGTAAAGTTTAACGAAGTTTCTCTCTATGATGAGTTATGTAGTAATGTGAAGGTTACTGTTATCCAATTTTCTCAAACGGATGAATTTAAAATAATACTTCAAAAAAGGAAGGTGTCCACAAGCTCAAATATAAAGGTTAAGAAAATTAGAAAAAAACCCATATAACAACCCACCCCCCAAAAATAAGAAGCATGTTGCAAGGCAAGCTAAAGACCTTTTATTGAAGTTAGTAAATTCCACAAAGAGTTCACTTCCAACATAAAATTTTTCAAATATCCACAGAGCCAAATAAGATACACAAGTGTATTTTTAGTCATTGATTTATCATGTAACATGCTTTATACTAATTAATGCAAAAGTTGAATGTGGTGCCTAAAAATGGGACTTTTGATGGCAAGGAGTGTTATTCAAATTCAAGACATTTTTAAACAAATTCAAAATCAATTAGTCACTCACCTGGGACCCAACAACAGTTTTAGCAGTCTCAGCCATTTTTGCTAAATTTTTAGCACATTCTACTTCTGTGGGGAAAAAAAGTCCATACATTAAGTATATAAAGAGCAACAATGACAAATGACATTTTATACTATTTGTACACCATTTTCATTGTTACAGCCCTTTAATTAAAGGAAATGGGCAACAGTTCTAGTCACTTGAGTGGAACAGCTACTCATTTAGAAATCACATTATTGACAGTCTACAGCACAGGCCTGACAACAGATTTAATTCCATCATGACAAAGCTGATTAGATACCAGAAAGAGCCACTCACCCAAGCTAAGCTTTTTTTCTACCCAAGCGACTACATCCTTGGTATATTTTGACCACGCTTTAGCATAAGACAGAGCTGATTCAATTCCGCTGTCATTTCTTAGGAGCTTGCTATCAAGCTCTTCAGCTTGAAGCTGTCCTGAAAACAAAGGGTCAAATGCAAAGAAGTGAATTTTAGACATGACCACACACCAACGGTAAATCTAGCATCAGCCGACTGCAAATACTGAAGCAGCTCAAATCTTGAGCTGTTCTTTAATACCAGTTGACTCTAAATAGAACTGGCAGGGATTTTAGAACATATTAAAGGGTCACAGTGTTTTATCTTTATTAGTCATCTGGTCAGTATAAAAACTTTCTTTAAAGAAGTGACCCAGGGGCATACAAATCTGGCTCAGCATTGATTTACTGTCTTCAGAAAGATACATAACTTTGGTTATTATCACAAATATTGAGCCTGTTGAAATGTAAGTTGTTTACATTAATTTAGTTATAATGTTAGTCTGCATATGTAAAAAAAATGGACACAAGGATTTTAGAAATAGGTTTAAAGTATAAAAATAATGCAAGCTAGTAGGCATACATTAAAAAAAATTAAGAAAGATGCTTGTTAATGTGAAAAGTTACCTGTACCCTGAATATCATCCCTTTCATGCAGTGATCCCACAGATTCCACAGAAAGGTTTTCAAAAGACTTACATGTAATAAAAATAAAATCGGGGTTAGACTAGCTACATCTAGGACTGAAAACAAACTAACAAAACATGAGCTACCTGCCCTTTGTGTCACAATTTATCACTGACAAGCAGGAGACAGGGTTAGAATCCATTCATGTCTAAGAACCTGGAGCACCTCTTTTAAGTCCCAGTGGCCTCAGATACAAAGACAGTTTAAATACCAGGGAATCTTTGCATGTCTTCAAACATTTTTGAGCAACAGTTTTTCAAATGGTTCTGATGAATGAGTTAATTATTTAACAAAGCAGTTCATTGAATCCACCACTTTTTCCACCCCTCTATTAGAAAGAGTTAAGCACTTCATGCAGGCTTAATGTCAAATACACACATGCCTTTCAGCAAATCAGTGGCATTCTGGATCAGAGTCAGGAAAGAAACAGAGCTACAATTAACTTCTCCCACCCCACACACAGATGCTCATTGCTACTAGCAAGGACAGAGAGAAACAATCGCTGGTAAAACAAGGGAACTTATCAGAATTTCATCCAAATCTATAGTTACTGATCACCATTTATAAAATAAGTTATTTTCTACCTGGACAGTTCCCCTGATGCTTCACAGGAGATTTCCCTCCAATACTTCATTAAAACCCCATCTTTTAAGTTCTCTACCCAAATAGACTAAATATATTTGGCAAAATACAGGAAAGCTAAAAATAACTGCAATTTATTTGTAATGTTTATGGGAACACATGTAAAAATCAAACCAGCTGGGATAGAATTAGTATTGGAAACAAACTTAAGGTTAAAAATAGTATACATGTAGCTTTTCTGCACCACTTTCTTGAGCAACATGCTAGCAGCTCAATATCCAACTCCTCCCTTCCCAAAATAAAGATGTGTATCATCAGTCACACAGAAAATTTCAAAAGGCCCGGGCAATCATCAAATCATTGCCAAAGGCTAGAGAACCCCCACTTTTCATATGCAAGTCAAATCACCACACGTTTAATTAGATGTTCTGGTTGGAGATATAGATTTGCAATGCAGTAAAAGAAATTCAAAGTCGTCTCGTCAAACTAGCAAAACAGCAAACGAGTATAGTTTTAGATCAATATGGATTAGTGATTTGGCTTCTACTCACACCTGAGACATATCTAAGCTTCTGACTCTGGTATGGCAGAGGGCTTTACATAACTTGTAAGCCTCTAAGGATGGATAAAAAAGGGGAGAGGGAAGAAAAAAAGAAGAAAGAAAAATGGATACCCTGCATTAATCAAGTGACTACTTAAGCTTACTTAAGCTTACAGAAGATCCATCTGATATGGATCTTTAGGATACAAGTCATTTAGTGGTTGAAATAGTAACTTACTGACAGCTTTCACTAAATCACTGCAATAAAATTAACAATCAAAGTAATATACTATATGATAATAAAGTTACATAATGTGTGGTTATTGGTAAAAGCATACAATCTGCCTGGCAACTGACTCCTCAGCCCAGCCGCTGGCTTCTTTACTTTTCATTCCATCCAGGAAGAGCACACACCAACTGCTGAAACTTCCTTAGCCTGATGAAGGGTTTTTGAACTCGAAAGCTTGCTTAATAACTATTCTCCAACCATTTGGGTTGGTCTAATAAAAGATATCAAATTCACCCAAGGAACCTTGTCTGCCTACAACGAAATTACACATTCTATTAATTTTAACAAAAGCAAAATTGAACATAATATATGATGAAACAACAAAATAAAGTGAAGCAATATAAAATAGAGTGAAAAAAGTAAAATAGGCAATTCTAGTTGATTTTGGCCCTTATTTGTGTAAGTAGCGCAAAAAATCCTACATAGTATAGGACAGGCTATAAGTTGTTAGAGAGAAGCCAACTTGTTTTTTCTTCATTAGCCTAGTAATTAAAATTTTCTATTAACGGAGACATCCATTTCCATCTTATTTCATCAAAGAATGAATAAGACCACAAACAGTGAGTTAAATCATGTCTCACTCTTCCTACAAGAACATTGTCCTATCCAAATATAACCACCAGCCCATGACATCTACAGATCTCATTGGAGTGAATTGCAGTCTTGTAATGGCTTCTTGTTGAATATGTGGTTTTGTATTTCAGAGAGGGAACTATCTAGGCAAAAAAGTACCCTACAGATCTCAAAAAAGAAGGTTGAGAAAATCTCACTGCCTGGATATCTGTCCACATGCTGGCTACTTTAATTCTAAAATCTGTATCTTGCTTTAAAGAAGTGGGGGAATATTGGGTCAATAACTGTCAGCACATTCTCAGAAGATTAATCTGGAAGAGTATAAATGTTATTTAACCATCCATATAAGGATTTATTTGGAAAAGAGGCTTCTAAAATACACTTCTTGGGGTATCTGATAGAGGTACAAGCTCTAACTTTTATCCAATAATTTAGTTTTTAACTGAGTTAAAGAGCTCATTAAGCAGCTCTATTTCAGATCACATAATTCCTCCCACTGTAGAATTTGGCAGAGATAAAGGCCACTAGAAAAGTTATTTGAAATGTATTCTATTTTGGATTGAACCATGAGGTCCACACACCATAGTTCTGGTCTATGCCATAAAATGGACTCAAAATCTACAGACCTTTACTGCTGCCAGTATTTCTTCGCTACCAGTCGTATTGTAAAGGGATATAACATCACCTGAGGCTGGTTTTGCTTTAATGCTTACATTTTCAATGCATTTATTTTAGCTCAGATTTTTAGTAAAATTAATTCTGAGGTTTCTGAAAAAGGACACCATCTCTAATTTCTTTTTTTTTCCCCAAAAAAACTATACTAGTTTTTTCCTTTCATTCCCAAAAGGCAATAGCTTGCATTTAGGAGTGTTGATTTCCCAGCTATTTGAGACAGTATTGATGAAAAGCATCTCATAATCTTTGGAGACCTATCTGCCTATCACATCATCTGCATAAAGCAAGACAGGGATACAATCATCAATACTGTGGGTGCATGGAATTGATTCCCTATTGTCACATTTTAGATCATTCAGGAATAGATTAAAAAGTAGCAAAGCAAACAAGCATCAATCACACAAGTCATTTAGGTCCAGATCCTCAGCTGTCTGTTTCTCTCTAATCCCAGGGATAGAACCTCACTGATCTTCCTTGGTAGATTTCAATTCTCAACTTACTTTTTGTTAAAATAACTCTCCTTCTCCCTGTCACTTCATTCCCAGCAAAGACATTTTCTTTTAAGCTTAAGATAATTGAAATGGGTGAAAAGAACTTTCCCCCTTTGCCATGTACTCAGATATGCATAGGTTTCCCTCTCTGAAAGGCTTGCTCAGAGGCATAAAAGATACTGCTCACCAGTTCTGATATAAATTTTAAAACCATATTTTTCATTTTGAAAGGTGATTTACTAGCTCCCCCCCTTAAATTCTGCTTACATAAAATTGGGTTTTTATAAGGAAAAATGCAAAACTTTCTGTACAGAAACTGCTTATTTACTTGGTGTATTTGGAAACAAGCAAAAAACTCTCCTTTAGCTTTGCATTTTTTTCCAACTATAGTTACATATTATTTTTAGCCACAGCATGTAAACATTCACATAGGACTGACTAGTTGATGTCTAGTCAAGTGCTTAGCTTAACCACTAACTGCAATATGCCTCCAACTCTGTTCTTCTTATTAGACTGAGGCAGAATATACTGTTAAAATGTGTGTACCCATGCATCTGTTTGGAAATATATATGCTTAATAATGATGATGCAATAATTTAGGGCAGATGTCTAATATGTGAGCTTTCCCACGTCTTCCAAGTTGCTCCAGAACTGATTCTAATCCTCTCCCCTCAAGAAAAGCATCAGGACTAAAAACAGGTCATGAAATATGACATGGCGAGCCTTACGGGATAATTAACAAAGTTTCTTCATTGTGTTTTAGTCCAACTTCCTCGTTGGCTTTCCACTTGCCCTGACATTTAGAAGCTTGCTCTTTCACTCTGTTTAAACAAATTCTGCATTTTTGTCTCCCAAGTCAAATTCTGGAAGATTGCATAAATCCTCATCTGCTAATGTCCCATTTCTATTTTTTCTATAAAAGTCCCATTTTTATTTTACAAGCTGATTTAAAAGAACTGCATGCAATTTTCACACTTTTTATTCACTATTTCCATTGTAGAGTTTGCTCCGAGTAGATCCACTGAAGTGTCAGATGATTTTAATAACATAGCTAATACACTGTTTGCAAGCTTGCTTGTACATCTCATGCTATTCTTATGCAAATCTCCCTTTCCTTGAGAACTTGTCCAAAGTAACTCTCTTAAGAGGTTGCTTTTTCTCTCTAGAACTCACCTTTAAAAATCTGTATTTTGTTATAAGCCACACAAACCAGGAATACTTGGTTTAAGTTTCACAGTGATTTTCTCTTTATGATGATCAGAAAAACCATAAAAGTGAAACTCATTTGAGATACTGATCCAAATAACTGAAGTGCTATAATAATAACCAGATACTTCTAGAATTTAATTAGTTCCCATAGTTTGTGGAACAAGTGCTTGAAAATAAAGTTCTACCAAACGGATTGATTTTAGTCCATCTTAATTTTGTTCTGATTTCTTTACAAATTTATTTTCTTAACACACAGAACTTAAAATTAACCCTGGATAGTTTCTATTTTGGTACTGATGGTTATGGTGGCACCAGTTTGATTAACACCTTTACAAAAACGTTGTTATTTAATGTTATCTCTGTAGGTCCATCCAACTGGTAAATGGAAACTCCAGGCATCTTTGTTCATTACTGTATTTTAAGTCAGGAGAAGTTTGGTTGCTGACATATTTTTAAATTTCTTTGCCGATCAATTCCTCTCACAACCCCCTCTGCACCACCAAAACGTTTGTGTAATGAACTTAATCAGTCTCTTTCATTGTGTAATGAGACTGTAACCAAAATATGTTATGAAAATACCTCTTAACCTGCATGGACAAGAAGATGCCTAATAAATAGCTAGCAAGAGAACCATGTCAGGACTATGGATTAAAGCATACTTTCTGAAGGCCTGGTTTCCATAAGTGTGTTTTTAAAGCTCCCCAGTCTTGCAGAGACCTTTCAGTTGAACCAGTATTGGCAACTTTGGAAACCCTTTGATGCACATGGCATACTAGCAGGCTCCTCTAACCAGTGGGATCACGTCTGAATGGTATGATGCTCAAATGGTATCAATTGACAGCAACTTATCTATATTGGGGCTCTTGACATTAACTGACCACTATCAACACACACTTTCCCTCAAATTGATAAGGCCAGAGTTACTCCCTTGCTATCAGCATGGTTTTCTAGAGCTATACAAATATATTTTTAGAATTACACACAAAAAAAACCCCTTTCATCTCAGACTTGGCCATGATAATACGAGGCAACTACAATTGAGAGGTTTGTTGTTTTTTTTTTTTAAATAGACAAGACCTAAAAAATATACTCCAACAGCATATGGGTTTGAATTTCACCCTTCATTTTTAAGGCTATAACAGTTTGTCTCAATCTATTCACTGATTTTGTTACATGTGATATATACTAGGCTTGGATTACAGGAAAGTTCATAGAATCATAGAAAATTAGGGACCTCAGGAGGCCATCTAGTCCAACTCCCTGCTCAAAGCGGGACCATGCCCAACTATATCATCCCATCCAAGGTTCTGTCTACCCAGTTTGTAAAAAACTACAAAGATAGAGGCTCCACAACCTCTCTGGGTCACCTGTCCCAGTGCTTTACTACCCTCCTTGTGAGAAAGTTTCTCCTAATATCCAACCTAAATTTCCCTTGCTGCAACTTGAGACCACTGCTCCTTGTTCTGTCATCTGTCACCACTGAGAGCAGTCTAGCTCAGTGGTTTTCAACCCTTTTTCATTTGCAGACCCCTAAAAAAATTCAAATAGAGGTGTGGACCCCTTTAAATTGTAAGTGTGGGTTATTCACATACCTTTGGATAACAATAGTCATCTTTCACAGACCTCATTGAGAGTCTGCGGAACCCCAGGAGTCTGCAGACCACGGGTTGAATACCACTGGTCTACCTCCATCCTCTTTGTAACTACCCTTCAGGTAGTTGGAGGCTGCTATCAAATCACCTCTCGGTCTTCTCTTCTCCTGACTAAACAAGCCCAGTTTCCTCAGTTTCTCCTCAGAAGTCATGTGCCCTAGTCCCCTAACCATTTTCACTGGCCTCCACTGGACTCTCTCCAATTTGTCCATATCCTTTTGTAATGGGGGGCCCAAAACTGGACACAGTACTCCAAATGCAACCTGATGAGTGCCAGAGAGAAAGAATCACTTCCTTCAAACTGTTAGCAACATTTCTATTAATGCAGCCCAGTATGCCATTAGCCTTCTTCGCAACAAGGACACACTGCTGGCTCATATTTTGCTTATTGTCCATTGTAACTCTCAAGTCCTTTTCTGAAGAGCTGCTGCTTAGTCATTTGGTCCCCAGCCTGTACTAGTGCATGGGACTGTTCTGTCCCAAGTGCACGACTCTGCACTTGTCCTTTTTGAACCTCATGAGATTTCTTTTTGTCCAGTCCACCAATTTGTCAAGCATATCTGCTACTCCATCCAGCTTGGTATCATCTGTGAACTTGCTGGGGGTGGCTGCACTCCGTCCCATCTTCTAGGTCATTGAGGATATTAGACTAAACCAGCCTCATGACTGACCCCTGGTGCACTCCACTTGATGTGAGGTGCCAACTAGACATTGAGCCATTACTTACTACCCTCTGAGCCCAATGATCCAGCCAGTTTTCTATCCAGTTTACAGTCTAATTCATCCAACCTGTACTTCCTTAGTTCGCTTGCAAGAATGTTGTGGGCAACCATATCAAAAGCTTTGCTAAGATCAAGGTATATCACATCCACTGCTCTCCTTGCATTCACAGAGTCAGTCATCATATTATAGAAGGCAATCAGGTAGGTTAGGCATAGCTTGTCCTTGGTGAATCCATGTTGACTGTTTCCAATAACCTTTTTCATACCTGGATATCCAAACCACTTTTAAAACAGCATTTCTTATGGGGGTTTTTTAAACAAAAACTCTTTAAAATACTTCCATCCATTTTCAAGACAATATAAAGGGTAATTAAAACATTTTTAGCTCTGCTATACTGATTACCATTATTTCTAGTTCTTTTAATTAAATCCTGTTAAAACAGCCAAACCAAAAATAATCTTGGAAGAACTAGAGGTTCAAGGAAATCAGATAACTTTTCTGGTTTACATGCTACTATTTTAAGTATCTTTAAAAAGGTACTTAAATGTCAACTCTGGTTTGAGGCCTGAAATACCTACTTTCAAATATGCTAGCATGATTTTTTAAAAATGAATGCTTTACTAGGAGCACACACAATGTGCTTACTCTTTTATTTAAGCTTACTTTATACCTGTAATAATAATCTAAACAAACTACATTTTCTTTAATATTTGAACACTGGCACTTCTTTTAAAATATAAAATTATTTTCTGTTGGAAAGCTGTAATAATACTAAAAATGTAAAATGTCATTTTAGAAGGTGTCTCCAGTTTTGGTAAGCTCTAAACCAGTTAATCCAAACAAAATACATTCCATGAAAGATGAAAAAGCTCTGACATTGTCATTTTAAAACTTATTCTTTACTCCCTAGAAGAATGTATTCAGCCTACCCGACTTCTCCGAGATACAGGAAGTCCCAGTGACGAACCATTGTCTACATCTCCCATAAGGAAGTCTGAAACACTGCCATAAAAACAGAAGTGAAAAAACTTGCTTCATTACATAGTTACTTAGGAAATAACTTTATGTCACTTAAAATGAAGTCACATAGTATCCTTAGTACAGATCCATCTTTTTAAAAGCTTGTATAACAATAGGTTCTACATAAATCAATTTTTCTTTACTACTTGTAGGCTATCATTTTTTTTCTTTTTAAATACAAACCACAAAAACAGCAAAACCTAAAAAAACAACAAGCCTGTTTAAGGTGTGTTTTACTTAAGCTCACAGATCAACCAGACTTTGTTAAAAACAAGACAAAACCCCCAAAACCAAACACCCCTCCCCCCTTATTTGCCATTTAGTAGTCTCCTTTGTGTTAGTTTTCTTTATCTCTTTAAAATTCCTTTCAAATCAACCTGTGTTTACTTACATGTTGCCAAAGGTAAATGCCAATGTGTCAATGGATGAAAATATTTCACCAAATAGCTCTCTCTTGTTTTCTTCATTAACTTCTTTAAAGTTCACAGCTTTGGAAACAAACAGAATCCAAATAAGGAAAAAAAATCCAACATACTTACAAAGCCTAGAGAGGCCTGAGAGTAACATGTCTGTAGAGAGAGGTAATTGTATTTGAAACTATACTTTAAGAATTGTTTATAAAAATTGTTAGTAGCAAAACTAAAAATAATTCAGGTTGATTGCAATCAAATGGAGTATACTAAGCAAGATGCTTCTCACACTGATATAAATTAACACCTTTCACCCAATATCATCTGGCTTGCAGTTAAAATATGTGTGGGAGCTTTTTTGAGGTAAGGGAAGGCGAGGAGGGTGACTATTCACAGAAGAGATTCAGTCATCTAACAGGTGGGCAACACATAGCTCGCAAGTATAGTGTGTAGAAGTTTAAACAATGGCACAAGCCACATTTTTTGTATTTTCCAGGATAGTCAAAAGAATCTAAAAACAAATTTACCACAATAAAAAGGACTCCATTTGCCATTTTATACCTGAAAATAGGATCCTTCCCCAGTTGATGCATGCAAATGAGCAGATAAATATCCTAATCTATATCTATGGCAGAACACTTCCGTGACTGTTAGGCCTGCATCCTGATGACCATGCTTAGTAGGGACACTTGCACTGTCTGTCAAGGTGGGAGAAAAATCTCCCCACAAAATAGGAAAGGGAGGCCTATTTCAATTCAAGTGGCAGGCAGTAATAAAACCTGGATACTGGAGCACCCAGTTATGATGGAGGCCTCTAGGTGCTACTGTAAACACACATGATTGAGGATGGATTAGTAACTGAGTGTTGTTAGCTTGGGTTAATATAGCTGTTGGAAAAAACCTTTCCACTCACAGCAGTAATCCTCAACAAAGTAGAAGCAGAAGGATACAGGGTGAGGAGTAGGAAGTACAAAACAAAACAGACATATATACAAGGTTACTTTTGATCTGTTCCCAATTTAAGCACTCAACAAGGAGGTTGGAGTAGTTTTCTTTCCACGTGTCCCCACAAAATATCCTCCACTGAATATAGCTGGTGGTTTTGGGGATGGACAGTCCTAATTACTTCTTCGTGAGGCACTGGACTTTTAGATCACTATCTGTTCAGAAAGGCTTACTATTGGAGCTTTGTAAAATGTCAATCCTCCCAGATCCTACAGAAACATTGTACCAGCTACCAACTCTTCTCAAGAGCTGATAAGGACAAAAGTACAATTAGTACTTCCCTTATCAATTACTTTTGCAACACTAGCAACGCTAGATTAATAATTAATACAAAATGCATTGTACATTGTGCTTCAAATATACAAATATTAAAATATGAAATAAAAACACACTTTATGTACTGCTAGAATTAGTAATACAATTGAGAGAGGTGCAAATTTTAGTCCACATAAAACAGTTTTCCTAATGAGCTGATGTAACTGAGGCTGTGATCTTAAAAAGCACCAAAACTTCCTGCCAGGTGTCTAAACACTAATGGGCAACTAAAAACAAAAAGAAAGTCCAGCAATCAGATATTCTATTCCCCTTCCTTCGTGAAAGGAAAAGTTTTCACCAGTAAATTAGATAAATTAAATCCAATTCTCTTTCCATACATTTACACACTATGATATATATATTTTTTCCTTTAAAAAAAAGAAAACAAGTGTTGGCATTATGCAGTAATCTCCTGTGTAGAAATTGTGCCTTGTTTAGAACATCCTTCAATAAACTAACAATTTTTAGTAATAGCCACACAAATATCATCAATTACTCTAGGCACTATTCAAGTCAGTTCAAGTCTTTTTCCTTCTCGCCTTCCTTCTTGTATTACCAAGAAAAAAGTGCCACTGGTACTACTAAAGGAAATCAAAAAGGCACTATAAAATTCTATGGAGCAAACATGCCATGTTGCATACTGCATTACACAATTTGAGAGCCTATTTGTAAGTTAATTTAATATTTTAAAAACTATTCAATTAAAAAAAGTAGTTGAGAGAATAAATTCAAGTCTAATGCACAACATTTAGCTAAAGGATTTATTGATTACTAATCATCTTACAGGCATAAAATTCAGACTTTGAAAAGTCATAATACACAATAACTATACTGTATTCAGAGCACTTACCATGAAAATATCTAGTATATCCATTAGTCAAAATATGTTCAGAGAAGTTCTTCTCACACTGTACAAGACAGACATTTAATGTGTAACCTCACCCTAAAGAAAAGCTGTTTGCCTTAATCAGCTTTTCCTGTTCCAGGAAGACTGCTGATCAGTCTTATTAGGCCTTCACTTCATATGCTGGAGAAATCTTTCCTTTTCATATTCCATTACATTATGTGAGGTTAAAATGTTTTTTAAAATTATATGATCAAAAGTTTCAGGATTCCTGCCACACTCCTAATAAAAATGTCCCCAAATCCCTACTGCCAGCTGGAGGTAGACTGCTTTCTTTGTGTCTTACTAATGGAATGCTGATGTACTTCACATCAACTTTAAAAATGTACACACTCT